GTGTCGCTGGTGCACAGCCGTTTCATAGTAAACGTTCAGAAAGCTATTTGAATTCTAGAGATAATATAATATAGAGAGCTTTGGTTACAACATTTACTAACGTTCCTTGGGTGTGAGAGTTGGATAGTTAAATCAGCTTTCTGTGTGGTAAATAAATGAGAGCTAATATTAGGCTGGAGTGTCCTAATGATATTCTTCCTTGTCCTCTTGTATTAGCAATACATAAGTCCATGTCAGCATATAAACATACATAGGTTAAAGGGTTTTTTTTTTTTGTTTTTTTTATGGGAGACATCTTTAGACATAGAGTTAGAGATAAGGGTGAGTGGTAACGCAAAGGAAAGGCAGGGTAAGGAGTGATTTAGTATGAGGATAGCGTGGCCCTCGTTTCGTTTTTTGTAGTCTGTATATGTATATATATATTATTTTTTAATATTTATTTATTAGTTTTTTGGTTTTTTTTAAGTTATTTTCATTATTTTTTTTTTGTAGTTTTTTTTCAAATATAAGTGAATTGGAGAGGGTGAGCTAGTAGAAATAGAACTTAGGATAGGAGAGGGGAGAGATAGGGGGAGCGATAGAGTAAGAATACCGGCATGTTTTCTGTGCTGCCTTCCTCAGATACCTCTTCTCCGGTATGGCGGTAGTCTATGTCAGGTAAATTGGATTACGGGAAGGAGGATAGTCTGTTGCCTTGAGCTGTTGTCTCAATATTGGCTGGGCAAGTATGATGTCCAGTTGTGTGGTCCCGGTATTTAATTTGCAGTCGATTTCCCCCGTGGTGATGATGAGGGTGATGTTGTGTCCCCAGGGTCATTCCTTCTCTTTAATGGAATCTGTTGCCAGCGTTGTCTTTGTGGAAGCTGGAAGGTCAGAGGGTGGATGATGGGTCCGTACCAGTCTGGGATGTGGACCGGAGGTAAGTCTGATGCTTTTTGGAACGCTGGGACGTCTTTCACAGAGTGTATAGAGTGTAGTGAACCTCTGTGCATGACACTTAGAGCAAAGGGGAAGCCCCATCTATAGCGGAGATTTCTGGTTCACAAGTTATCTGTGACCGGTTTAAGTGCACGTCGAGTCTGCAGCGTCAACCATGATAGATCCGGATATATGGTTATTGGCGCCTCATTGTATAGGAGAGCTTGTGTGGATTGGCGTAGGGCCTGTAAAATTTCCTCTTTGCATGTATAGTAGTTGATGCAGCACACTACATCTCTTGGTTTATCCGTTGGGGGCCCCCCTCTATGTGCCCTATCCAGAAGTATTGGTGTGTCGGGGGTCTCTCTAGAATCAGGTTGAAAAGGGTTTGTAGCATACCTGATAAATTCTTCTGGTCACACTCCAGGATCCCCTTAACCCTCAGGTTATTGCGGCGCCCTCTATCGAGATCGTCAAGGTATTTTTGCACAGCTGAGAGGTGAATTGCGTGTGCCTCCAGCGTGTCTTGTATGAGTGGAAGCACTGTGTCATCCTCCAGTGCTTCCACTCTATCGCACATTAGGTGTAGGTCGGCGCCTATGGAATCCAGTTTAGCTTGAAAAGACACTTCAAGTTTTCCTAGCATTTTAGCCAGGACCTGTTTTGAGGGTAGGCTTTTCAGTATATCCCTGATATCTTGGTCTGGATGTGATTGTTCTGACTCTCCCGGGCTGGAAGGTGGTGATGTATTGCCCGGAGAGTCAGGCGCCATATTGAGGCCTACCATTGATGGGTGCGTGTCCACACGGTCCCGAATGTACTTTGTCAAGGCACCCAATTTACCGGCCGGGGTTTTGCCGGGAGCCTGCTTGGATGAGGCTGCTCTTTTGGGGTGACCCATTTCTTGTTTTAGTGCCCGATTATATTGGATTGCGATCTCTAGGTTCTGAGCTCTGCTAGAACGCGTCCATTCAGGTCGGTGGTTGGCTCCGCCCCCCATAAAGGAATGTTTCTGTTCAATTGATGACATTTATGCGCTTGTAATAATCATTGTATTACGTGATGTATAGGCAATAAAACTCTAATTTGCACTAGACCAAATCAAAACATATATACATATAAAATAAGACAACACAAATCAGTCCACAAAAAGCTGGACTAGAAAAAAAAAAATGTACAGGATCCACATACAACTATTAATAACCACCTCTTTACAACTTGGAGTCCTTGTAAAACATCCAAAGATGAATTACTGTTATTTTATCAATGTAGGGATAAGAATTTCCATCACGTGTAAATTCACTGCTGTACACCAATTATATATTCCACTAGATATCTGGAACAAAGGCAATCATGTTAGATACTTTCAACAGGCACATTTTATTCTTTGCAAACCTCTTAAGAGACAATAGATAAAACCTAATCACTGCCTCCTAAGCAAGCTACATATAGTCTACATATTTTTTGACTTCCTCATCCACTGAAAACAATACAAACTTTGAAAGGTAAGATATATTATAGACTTGCTCGTGGTGAACAATTTTGTTTCTTCTGAAACACTTCCGAAGAAAAAACTATTTGGCGACTGAATTTAGTTCATGTCATGATTTGTTTTGCTCAAATGCAGTAACAAAAAAAACAAAAAACAGGAAGACCAGCCAGCCAGCCAGCCAGCCAGAACAGCAAGTCTGCTAACATGCAAACACAATTAAAGTATTGCCTGACCTAATGGCTACGCAATATCATCCACTTGTGCAATAATAATTCTCAGATACCGAAATTAAATTATTAAAAAATACAGATTAAGGAACAGCACATAAGTCTACTTAAAATGATCTATTTTAGCAAACAAATATGGAGATTCAGTTACACCATATGGCTATACTGTGTTAAACCAACTCTTCATCACAGTACCCCAATATCGGTGGGTCCTATACTAATTTTAACATAAGAGATGAGCATGCTAACTGCAATACTTACTGCTTAAGCGGCTTCCAGAGACTCTCCTCAAATGTATACTTTTTCTGTGATCACCTCCAAAGGGGTATCTATAGTGGATGAGAGGATGCTCAACCAACAGAGAATCTGGTCTGGATTCCAAATTTACACAGAATAAAAAGGAATTGAGGGCATACCCAAAACATTTCTCAGTAGAGGTGCCGCCATCAAGACCAAAATATATACAAAATACAGATTAAGGAACAGCACACACACACAAAAAAAATAGATTATTATATCTCTGGATTAAAAAAAAAAAAAATAGGAAGTGAGAGAGCTTTAAAATGATTGATAGCAATCCAATGTTTTGTTTTTTTTTAAATCCTTTTTTATCCATAAGTAAAAGGAAAAAGTCAGTGGCAAATTTGATCCTTTCACTTGTTCTCTAGTGTCAGTGACTGTCCTTCAGTATAGAAAAAAAATAACTGTGCCCTAGCAGCAGCAGTAGTCATTCAAAAAAACTACAGGGTGGAATAGATGAGTGACTCATCAATTGTCCTCACTTTCTCCTTTCATTTCTTTTTTTTATACAAAAACTGGGTTTGATGTCTGCCCTCAAAACTCTCTCCGATACCTACAGTCATGGGGAAGTGAAGTCATGGGGCGGACTGATAAACACTGATTTTTGATGCAAAAACCGGGGTTGACGGCTGCCCTCAAAGATCTCTCCGATACCTACAGTCATTGGGTAGTGCTCTAAAAAATTACTGGCTGCGCAGGTGGGTGACTCCAGTGATATTAGGGATTATCTTGTCTGCAGCCTATGTAAGTAACGCCAAGCCTTAATAACAAGCCAGTAACTGACCTCATGCTGATGAGTTGCAATAACAACAAAACAGCTGCCCATGAGTTGTTCACTGGCTTTGCATCTCTTCATAAAATGTGTTTTAAAGCTGTTGTATACAGCTAACATAAACTCCAATAAATCCATGTTTAAAATGAAATAATGAGAACAAAAGGTGAATATATCAGAAATATATTGTCACGGCTGCTAGTGTGGTCCAACACGCAGAAACTATGTAAACATATACATAAAAAAAGGAAATAAAAGGACAGAGCGTAAACCGGACCTTAGAATGGCCGGACTAATACGCTAGAGACAGAGAATGGTCAAAGGGAAAGTCGAGGTCAAGGAAGCCAGAAATACTCAGATACTGTTTAAACAAGCCAAGTCAGGGGAACCAGAATTCGGAATAACCAGGGAAAAGCCAAGATCAGGATACCAGGAAGTCAGATTCACAAAGGTAAACGCACTCTAGGGAACCAGGAACAGGAAACCACGACAGGACAAGGAACTGGAGTGAATTAGGGATTTAAATATCCCTCTCTGGGCTCTGATTGGTCAGAGGGTGACCTCTGACCCCAGAACGTTGACGTTGTGATGTCACGCGCACGTCCGTATAAATTTGAGGGGCGGAGCTTGTGGTGTGCGCGACCACGTGGTCAGCACCATCTTTGATTTGGGCGCAATGCCCAGAAGACGCGGAGGAGCGGTTCCCGGCTCGCCGGTGAGCAGGTAAGCTCGCAGTATCGGCAAAGTAGTGCCGGTTGGGCACGGCTGCGCCATGCGAAGGCCGGGAGCTGCAACCGTATCCCCCACTCTAATACCGCTCACCGGGCGGGAAGGAGCCGGCTTATGAGGGAAGCGGTTGTGAAACGACCGGATAAGATGGGGCGCATGAACCTGGTCAGCAGGAACCCAACAACGTTCCTCAGGACCATATCCTTTCCAGTCAACTAGATAAGACAAAACATAGTCCAATATAGAACGAACTTCGTACTCCTCCTGATCACCCACTACCAAGGGCAGAGGAAGGGCAGCCACTTTAGTGTATCGATTGCAAGTAAGAGGCTTGAGCAAGGACATAGGACCTATGTACCGAGGGGCAAATTTCATGGAAGGAACCTTAAGTTTGAAATGACGTGTGGATAACGACACCTTGTCTCCTGGTTGATAGACAGGATTGGCACCCCGTCTCTTGTCAGCTTGGATTTTAGCACGTTTTGATGCTTTCTGTAGTGCTGTATGAACGGAATCCCAAGTGTCATGAACAGAATCCAAACGGGTTTTCAAGGCAGGAATATCAGTGACTGAAAATTCAGAAGGTAAAACAGTGGGGTGATAACCCTGATTTACACAAAATGGACTATGATTAGAGGATTCATGAGTCGCATTATTTCTGGCAAACTCAGCCATGGGTAAGAGTTCATACCAGTTAGACTGATTGGCATTGATAAAACAACGTAAATAAGATTCTAAAAACTGATTGGCCCTCTCTGCTGCGCCATTAGTCTGAGGGTGATAAGCTGAGGAAAATGAAAGTTCTATACCCAATTGCTTACAAAAGGCACGCCAGAACCTAGTAATAAATTGGGTACCTCTGTCAGATACTATGTTTTTTGGCACTCCATGTAACCGAAAGATCGCTTTCAAAAATATTTGTACAAGATCTTGAGCAGATGGTAATTTTTTAAGAGGTACAACATGTGCCATTTCTGAGAATCTATCTATGACCATAAGGATTGTGTTAAATCCGTTTGAACTGGGCAGATCCACCATGAAATCCATGGCTAAATGGGTCCATGGAGCATTAGGTATCGGCAGTGGTTGTAGCAGCCCAGGAGGAGATTTGTGAGAGGCTTTAGAAACAGCACATATTTGACATGCCCCTACATAATCTTTGATGTTGTTCCTAAGTGTAGGCCACCAGAACCTCCTGGAGATAGCAGAGAGAGTTTTATGGACTCTAATTTGCTGTCAAATTATCATGGAATAATCCAAGTACCTTTTTCCTTAATAGTGGTGAAACATACAGTTTTTCTGGAGGTCTCTCCACGGGTGCCTGAGTTTGATCTGCTATTATGGCACAGAAGAGTGGAGAAGACACTTCGGAAATTGTAGTGGCAATAAGGCATTCTGGAGGTATGATAGTGAATACCTCTTGTTCAGGAACCTCATCTGTCTCAAACTGCCTAGACAGCGCATCTGCTTTGGTGTTCTTGATCCCGGGCCTATACGTAATTACAAAATTGAATCGGGAGAGGAACAATGACCATCTAGCCTGACGAGAGGACAATCTCTTAGCGTCCCCAATATAAGCCAAATTCTTATGATCGGTAAAAATCAGAAGTGGCTCTTTGGAACCTTCTAAGAGATGCCTCCATTCTTTAAGGGCAAGTACAATGGCCAATAACTCCCTATTCCCAATGTCATAATTTTTCTCTGCAGGTGTTAGATTTCGAGAGAAAAACCCACAGGGATGTAAAGGCGCATCGGGACTTTCTCTTTGAGACAGAATGGCTCCTACTCCTGTTTCTGACGCATCTACTTCTAGAATAAATGGTTTGGTCGGATCAGGATGTGTCAGGACAGGTGCTGAGGCAAATAAAGATTTTAATTGCTCAAATGCCTCCTTCGCTTCCTTGGGCCATGAATTGCAATTTGCTCCTTTTTTGGTTAGGTTGGTAATAGGAGAGATTACAGAGGAAAAACCTTTAATGAACTTGCGGTAATAATTGTCAAAACCTATAAAGCGTTGTGTAGCTCTAAGGCCTTTGGGTAATGGCCATTGTAAGACTGCTTCCAATTTGCGTGGGTCCATTTTGAAACCAGACGGAGTTATAACATACCCCAGAAACTGTATCTCAGTCTGGTCAAACTGTCATTTTTCCAGCTTCTAGTAGAGGCCGGTCTTTAACAAGGTTTTTAGTACTGTTCTCACATGTTCGTGATGTGTCTCTAAGTCTGGGGAATAGATGAGAATGTCATCTAGATACACTAAAACGAACATGTGGGGGGCGTGGAGCCTGGCCACCATGCCGAGCGGTCGCACACT